GATGTATCACATGCTATAATTAATTTTCTCTCCACGGGTCACCTAATTCGAGAAATTAATTTTACACATGTGGTGGTAATTCCCAAAGTGAAAAACACAGAGATATGACCCAGATGCGCCCCATCAATTTGTGTAATGTGTTGTTTAAAATTGCTTCAAAAGTGCTTGTGAATGGACTAAAATCATTCCTCCTTGCGGTTATCTTACTCCATCTGGAGACTTAAGGCAATGTAGATGGGGCTTGGAAGGTAGGTGGCACGCAAGGGGTATGGGTATAGTGGTTTGAGATTTTGACGGGCACTTGGAGGCAAGTCAAGCAATACACTATGATCATGTTTTTTTGGCCCTACAGGTGGAGGCAATGGCAGCCAGGGCCGGTGTAGTTTTAGCTGTGGAAAGTTGACTAAGTAACGTAGTTTTTTAGAGTGATTCTCTCCAGATCGTCTCAACTCTCATGAGTCCCTCTGTTGATAGGTCCTTTGTTGGAGGATACCAAGAGCTTGTTGTCACATATCACTAGGGAAGGTTTTACCCATGTGCGCCGTACTGCAAACGGAGTGGCTCATCGTATTGCATGTTTTGCTATTAGTATTGGTGAAACAATTACTTGGTTTAAGGAGTCACTAGATTTTCTCCTAGATGCGTTGTATGAGGATTAGAACATGTAGTTTTTATAGGTATGTTCCTAAGGGACGAGAGGTGCTCTATTAGAGGTCAAGTTCCTTCTCATACTTGTAGTTGAGAGAGTAGGCTACAAAGTTAACCCGACAACCAATAAAGCCCATTTAGTGTAGAGATACTTGCCTAATCTTCTAGGATATAGCCCGATTTTTGTACTGCTTTCATTCTTCATCATTAATAAAATACTAGTCTTTGTGTAAAAAATTAAAACAAAAAGAACAGTGGAATTTTAATTTTGAACTGAACTGAAGTCCATAATAATTAAAACAACTGAAAATACATTGATTATATTGAAATTCAAGTCAAACTATATGGGACAGAATTTTTTGTTTCCCATTGGATATGACAATTTTTTGTTGTTATATTAATTAATTTTAGAATTATAAACGCATCATTGATATTTTTTTCTTAAGGAAAGGTGTATTCAACTCATAAAAATAGTAGACGTAGGGTAGGCTAATTGACTAAGATAGCATGCATGCTACTCTTGCATTAAAGTTCGGTCCCCATCTACGTATATTAGGCCCTGAATTCAATCATCATCTCTATATATTAGAATAATTTATAATATAGTTCTGTAAAAAGGAAAACCTATAAAAATATATACGAAGACATTAACTGATGAATTGAACTTAACCAACTTTTTAGATAAGGATCCATCTTAAAAAATGAAAAAGAAAAACAATAGACTTTTTTCTTTTGGAAAAGGGAATCAGGTTATGGACCCCTGATCTTTGAACACTTTATTATTGTTAAAAAAAACTCAACCGAGCTACGAGACATCACATGATAAATATTTGTGAACTATTGACCTTTGACCAATTTGTTTTTGATGGCCCCAAATGAAATAGCCAAGAAAAAACAAATATTTTAACATGGTAAATACTTGCCAACTGGTGATTTCCTTTGTTTATATATTTTTTCGGTTTTTGGTAATTGAAGAGGAGAGATTCAAAATTAGGATACCTATAAGAGCATTTCCAGCAGTTTGCCATTTGCCATGATAAGGGGGGCTAAGGCAACAACTATTCATGTGAATAGTGGTTGCCCTTGCAAAAGGTTGTGGTGTTTCCACCAATTGCCATGACAACAACTATTCACATGAGATATTGTTGGCGGCGCAAATCTCACGGCCTGATGCTCCGGGCTGAGGGGATATGCATCAACACGTGACGTCCTTCTTTTGGATGCGGTGCGGTTGTGCGCGGGCGTGCCAGCACGGTCTACTGTGCGTCGAGATGGTGATGCGGTTTGGATAAAATGGTTAAGTGGTGCGCCTGTTTGAGTTCAACTCCTAATCAAACGATTGTGGCCGAGAGAAGAACTGATCTCGGCCGTCAAGTTCAGGGCCTGAGCTATAAGGCCGTTTAGTGGTGGTGTTGATGGTGGGTTTTGGGCGGTGCTCCGGCGCGTTGGTCGGAGAGCGACGGTCGTATGATATATGGGGTGGATGAGAAAGGAACAAAGATGGTGCTCCGGCGCCTTGAAAATCAAGGGTCGTATGATATATTGATGAATGGATTTTCCTTACAATCTATCACTACTCCTAGGAAAGCAAGTAAAGGTATTGAAAGTGCATTACAGGAAAATATAATTTGCTCCATGGGAGGCTTTTGGTTTGGTATTTGAACCCTTTGAATGTAGCTTGAGCTTAGTATTTATAGGAGGAGTCCTGGAGGAGTAATCGAGGCTGAAAATCTGCATGGTGGAGCCTGATCAGAGCAAGTGGGTAGTCAAATCGGCATTTGGGATCGTGAAGCATGGTGGTGTGACCTCCATAAATCCCGGTAAATCTCAGCCACCGCCCTAATCGTGGGTTCTGCGCCTTTGGCCTTTGGAACGCATTTAATGCCCTGGTCTGGTGGTTGGTGACCAGACCTCTCAAGTTGTAAGAATATTTGTGAGAATGTTTGCGCCTAACCACTCTGATTTCCATCACCAAACCCTGACTTCAGTCACTTCCCATCTTCCCTCGTGCATTAAATGCTTTTTTGCGTCTAGTGGGTTTGCTGCAATAATCAGAGGCGTTACTTCATTAAATAACGTGTGGGGCCCTGTTGCAACGTGGCGATTTAACATTAATATCTTCGGCCGTGTCTTTTGCGCCCTTCGGCCTCGGCCGTTGTGAGGCCGAGAGGATCCCGCCTTCGCAGCTTTTCCTTTGTTTTTTAGGAATGCCAATGCCTAACGAACCGCCATGTTTCAGTTTATGGACTGGTGCGAGGGCTGAGAGGAAGTCCTTTCGGTCATTTTTATGACCGAGATTTATTAGGCACAAACAGATATGAGGAGATAAATTTGTATAGAATTTTGGTGTGAGAAGTGAAAAATATGACTAAGTATTTATTTTTTAAAAAAATTTGAATTTTTTTGGTTTTTTTTAAGATTTTTTTTTTGTTGCTGACGTTAGCAAACCCAGGCTTGAACTCAGGCTGAACTCCCCCTGGGGCCAGCCCAATCTCGTGGCCCCCACCTCCTACCCCGGCCACCCTTTGTTGCTGGAAACGTGTTTTTGGCCCAAACTCCCCCCCCCCCACCCCACGTGCAAAACCGTGTTGGACTTGTTGTCATATACCCATTCTTAGTACTAAAACTATAAATAAACCCAACACCATTTTATTTCTCTAAATAAACCCAAAAAATTACAGCTGCCCCTATTGAATTTAATTTTGATTATTAAATTACTTTCATGCCCTATTGAGTGTTTTGGGCTTTTTTATGAGGTTTTGGGGTTGGATTTGTTTTAAGAAATCAATGGCAGTTTTGTAAATTAAAAGAAATTAAAAGTCTTTTTGTTATATTGTAAATGAGTTTTGGGTGTGTTTCTAAAGTCCATTTCATATAGGGTTTTTTTATATAATTTGGGCTCTTATATTGGGTATAATAGTGAATCTCCCAATATATAAAGTCAGGCCTTAATCTATGAAGAGTTAGTTAATGTTGTGCATACAATAAATATAATGCAATTAAATCATGTGATGTGTTTAAAAAAATTTATTCATGCCTAAGATTATATTATGTGACACATGCGTTGTGTTGTGCATATAAAATATTTTGGAATGTAAAAACAAAAACAAAGAAATAGGTGTTTGTAGAAAGGTTATAGCTCAAATAGTTAAGCGCGCTTATTCTATACTCGAGGTATTAAGTTCAATTTCCCCTCCTACAACACCGTTTGTACTTAAAATAGAAAAAGAAAAAAAGAAAAGAAGCATGTTCAACCTTACAGAACAGTTGGTAGTCGGAACATTCACCTGAAAGTCAAACCTATTTTACTTTTTACTGCGATTTCTCCCTCTCCAAAAGTCAAAGCCCATTACAAGCCTTTCCCATAATTAAAAAACGAAAAACAAAATGTAATAAAAAAATAATAATAATAAAAAAGTGAAATCTAATGTGACAGTGTTGTGATATATGAAGCCTGCAAAAGCACCCTTATCCACTTGGCCCCACCTAGCCCCAACCTTGCACTGAGTATGTGCGCTCACTCTCACCACGGAACAGGTACAACTCCTGACCACCACCTCATTTATGCCAACGTGTTATCAATACCGTTCTCCGATTTCCGTCACCCACATGTGAGGGTAGCTTTCAAAACGAGCCGCCGAGTATTTCCAAATAGCTAATAAATGACTCATCATCATCATCCTTGCCCCCCAACTAAAACTCAGTGTCCGAAAAGGTCTTGCCCGAGTTCGGTGTCCGGTCAAACTCGGTTACCAATTCTCGCGTCAAACGCAATTTGTTTTTATTTTTTATTTATAAAAAATAGATAATTACAAGATACTTTCACAAAGTATCACTACTCCAACTAGGTAACAAATATATATATGGTATTATTCTAATTATGAGCACTTTTACAATAATATATATATCTTTCTAATTATGTATATGAATCGAATTTGAAACTTTCTCGGATTAAGTAGAGTTAAATATAACTAAATCATCATTCTCGTCGTAAATATATATATGTCTCGTTCATCAGCATTCCATTAAAAAATTGCTTCATATTATCAAGACATATAACTCAAGTGATTAAGAACGTTTAATCTTACATCTTACGTTATTTTTTATTCCTCAATATCGCTTGTATGAAAACATACAACCACTCCATATTATTTTTATTTATTAATTTTTTGTATTTATAATTGTAACATTAAAAGGAAAAACCGAAAACTAAGAAGGCGCTTTCTTTCGTTCTCTTACACCGGACCGGCACCCATTCGAGTCAAAACAGTTAAAAAAATAAAAACAAAAAAGGAAAAAAGCTACAGAGTTTCAAAGCTCCAACACAACAACAGTACATAATATAAAATAATCTTTTATTTTTGTTTGCTTCTTTTTCAAGGAGTGTTTTACACAAACAAAAAACTCTCTGGCTTTTTGGGTTTCGGCAGCACCTGGTATTTGATTCAGAACTTTAGAGAGACACAGGCCTAGAGAGGGAGAGAAACAGAGACAGAGAGAAATCTATCTCTCGTATTTGGATTGATTTTTGTATGTTTCTCCTAAATAGCGGTGCATATGTTTTAAACTTTTTTCTCTAGAAAACAAATTTGGGGTTTTTCCGGGAAAGTTTGGGATTAACCAAACCTCAGAATCCTACACAAGAGAAGAACCCACGTTTGGATTTAGTCAGATATTGCTTATCGTCATTGATCTTTCTATTTCTTATCGTATATATTTAAATCTTTCCCAAATCCTATTGTTCTACGTAATCCATATTTTTTTGTCCTTGAAAGAATATAATTGTAATCTTGTGTAAAAAAAACTGATGCAATTCAAGAAACGTTGGTGGGTCTAGAATCTAGATTCTTCTTCATCATCTCCTACCAAATTCGTACCAGAACCGACCGACTGTCCTTATCTGAAATTGTTTCCCTCAAATTCACAAAAACGTGCCCATCAATTCTCGATCCAAACCAACATAGGCAGTGTGAATTTCGAGTTTTGATTGCTGGGTATTGACTGAAATCTGATCTTTCGATCTCGGTTGTCTGCAATCCAATCCCGAACTTCGGGTTTTGGTGGCCATGACGACCAAGTCCGGGTCACTGAATTATTGGAGGAATTACTTTCGGACTGCGAATTCGGATATTTTCGATATAATCGACCATGCGATCATGGTGGCGGCTTCGGATTGCCCAAAGGAGTTCAAATTGCGGAGGGATCGAATAGCCGAGCGGTTGTTTTCGTGTCGATTGACCCGGTGTTCGGGCTGCGACAAAGTGGAGTTGGCGGTGCCTGGTGGCGATGGAGAAGATGACGATGATGATGGAGGGTGTAAAAGTGGGTTTGATAGAGATGGAGGTGAAGTTGAGGCTGGTGCTAGTAAAGAGAGCAAGGTCAATAGCAGTAGAGATGATCAGGGAGAGATGAACATGAACCAGCTTAGCAATTACAGCTATGGATTAGCTGAGGCTTTGACTGCTGAGATTGAAGAAGAGTCTGAAATTGTAGGGGAGGTCTTCAGGATCAAAGAGATCTTCAATAATTGTGAAGAAGAGGTATTTTAATTGCCTTTGATTTCCAATTAGTCCTTTGTGTTTGCGGCTTCAATTTTGAAGTGTTCGTTGGACAAGTGGAAGCTTGTCGTGTCCCATTTTTTTTGTTAATTTGTGTTCCATAGTTTCTAAAATTTTAGATTGGTTTTGAAAGTTTTTTGAGAATTTGTGCTTCTGTTTGGCTGCTGTGAACATGCTTTAGGTGTTCCGGTTTCTGATTCTAGTATTTATCAATGTTGTTGCAGTCTGATACGGTATTGTTTGAGTCTTTGAGGAAGCTTCAGTTGATGGCTCTGAATGTGGAGACTCTCAAGGTCTGATTCTAATTTGGTTTAGTTATTGAATTAGTGCAACATTACATCCCTCAATCAGCTTTCAATTTTTGCTACTGTATGGACTAATATGAGTTCTTCTTTTGCAGGCAACTGAAATTGGAAAGGCTGTTAACGGTCTCCGAAAGCATGGATCAAAGAAAATTCGTCATCTTGCTCGATCACTTATCGAGTATGAATTTATATACCCTGATTCACAATGGATTATCTGTTCTTTGTGTTTATTGGGAGGAAATTGAGTAATACCATGTAGCGTTCCGCTACGGCACATGCATTTACCGTATCTTCTAAAATTTGTTACTTTGATACTTTGGTCTGCTTATTACTTACTATACCCTTGCCTGCTTCTTGCATTGTAGTATTCAGCAATTTTTCCTTTAAACTTTCTTTGTAGTCTTTTGGGTGCATTAATGCCGTGCTTATATTCAGTAAGAAAGCGCATAATATGCTCAAACCTCCTATGTACTTCAGCTTTTCAAGTCTGTTGACTAAAACCAGTATCAGATAATTTCCAGTTTCTGAGTGCTGCCGATTCATATTAATTATGCTTATGAACTCAGTTTTTATTGTTGTGCTTACTGATATCAACTGCACACTGGTCTTTTTTCTCCTTTGAATTTTGTCAACACATCAAATCCATTTTCTTCGTCTGCACTGTTGACTCCTCTTAGCTCATTGTGGGCTAATAAGCCACATTCTTAACGATAATTCTTAGACAAGGGATAAATGATGACTCATTTCGGCTTTTTTGCATCCATGACTCATGTAGTAGATAAGTAAACATCATATTTCTATACCATGTAAATTAGTGCTATATTGGATGACGAGCTGTTTCATTTTAACATTGTATTTGTTATCTTAGATTTTGAAACGGCTGTGCTTTAACATGATCTTTTGTATTGCAGTGGGTGGAAAGACATGGTAGATGAATGGGTGAATGCTACAACAGCTATTGCCAGTATGAATTGCTGATTTTACATATGTACCATTCTTTTCAGTTCTTCACTGGATCACCAATATTAATTCTATTATATTAACTTGTAGGCACAGAAGCTATGTCGGATTCTGTTAATCCATCTTTTGATGACGAGGAAGGACTACCATCTCCTCCTTTGGATGAAGGAGCTTTCTTTGCTACTCAAACGACATCAATGGAACTCTCACAGGTATCAGTCCTGTTCTCTGCTTTTTTCTTTTTCTTTTTTTCTTTTACTGAGGAAAGTAATCTGATTTTCAATATGATGGCTGAAAACTGATTGGTTTCTGTTCTCTTTGACATCCAATAACCACGCTATGTGAAGTTCTTTGACGGCATGGATGATTTTGGAAGTGAGTTGAATTTGCCAATGTTTATGTTTCTCTTGGGTAGCTTTGTGCTATTTGGTTCTTTATTTGAATTCCCCACTTATTGGATTCATGATTATGAACGGGGAATGTTGTTTCAGATCCTCGAAACAACCGTGACAATGGAAGAAAACCATCAGTGGAGAAACAAAATATTGTAAAGCAGAAACAACAGCCTTCAAATGAGGCAAATGTGCTTCCCAAGGAAAACAAGAATGAACAAGTGAAGAAACAAGAAGTTGTAAAGCCAAATAAGCTATCGAACACTGACTCTGGGCCTGGCAGACCTCCCAAAGTAAATATGGAGCAAAAGGTCAATAATGAAATGAAGATCCAGCAAAAAACAGACAAGGTTGCCATTCAAAAGAGGCAACTCACTGGTCAGCAAGATGTAAGTCCGTAACAATTACTTGTAGTTTCATATATTTCAATCTTTGTCTGATTTCTGTTCTTGGTCTCCTAGAAATTCAAGTGTTCAGATGAAGTTGCAGTTCAAGTGAAACTTGAAGCCACAAAAAGGAAACTCCAAGAGCGTTATCAACAAGCTGAGAACGGTATATCTTACTGAATATTTGGACTTTTGTCAACAATGCCACATGTTTGGGTGTTGAAAAATCAAACTCTGTTAATAGCAGATCCAGGTTTTTAATCTTTCTCATGTATGCCTGCATTCTCGTTTTGTTTGACAGCCAAGAGGCAACGGACGGTACAGGTTATGGAGTTGCAAGATCTCCCGAAGCAAGGGCTTGCCCGTAGGAATCCACATGGGAAGCCTGGAAACCACAATCGACATTGGGCGCATGGACGGAGATAAGTTACTTTGTAAAGGAGACTGGTTTCAGTGGCTTATGAAAGATTCTTCCATTTCAATTCAGTGGAAGAGGACAAACTCTCTGGCATACTGTGGGTCAAGAATAAGACATTCATTCACCATTCTTGCCGGGGGAGGGGCTGTTTCAGATTTATTGACAAGCAAACTTTTGAAACTTGCCCTAAATTAAATACATTGAGGTTTCTAGAGGTCCTTTAATTCAAATTGGGAGGCAGATTGTAGCTAATGCAGTCTCATTTGGATTTGGTTCTGAGCTGAATGTCTGTTAGGGAACTCTAGTTGTCACTACCCAATTAACCGACTACCCTCAACATTTTTTTTCTCCCACAGTCGAGACACTTCTACATCATGAGTTATATATACTTTGTAGACAGAAATAAAGTTCACTGTTACTTATACATTTAAGGTTACACTTTCATGTCTCCTTACTCTTAAGGCTGAAGTGATCCTTGTAAAGTTCGTCTCCGGTCGATTTTGTTTACGGCGGCAGGCACCGAGATGAGTGAAAAAACTTACCCCTCTTAACTTTTATCATTTAGATGCCCGTATTTATGTGTAAGAGAATTAAATGTAGCAAAATCATAACTTTTAGTAACAATATTATTTCACCCATCATTACACCTAAAAATGATAGATTTAAGGTTTTGCAATATCTAGTAACTGTCTTTTATTTTTAGTGATATTTATCTTCTCAATGTCGGAAAAAATTTCAAATTCAAAACGCATCATTAAAATAAAAGAAAATTATGCAATGAATGAGTCTTGTGGAATTTTTACGTGGAAAACGTTTGTACAGTTCCGTTTTTCCACCCGTTCTCTTTGAATTATTGTTGGTTAGTTAGGTGATCAGTTGTTCGCACCGAACCCTGCAAGAATTTTCCTTTTGGTCACGTGATTTTTATGTCTCCAAACTAATAGATGTGGGGGCCACGTGGAATTCATCCATAGATTGATTTTTTTTTTTTTTGGTCAATAAATCCATAGATTGATTGAAGGGTTTGGGATTTGGGATTGTGTTTTTTAATCCAAAACGTTTCTTTCAAATGGATGGGTTACCGGCTTGGTGGGTTCTGCGAAGAATAACGGAATCATATAATGGGATACACGTGATGTGTATTTTCCTTGCCATGCTTGATTGTAAGGTACAATAATATGACTTTTACAGCCTTTCTGTCTGTTTTGCGTTTTGACAAAATGGTCTTTTAAATTTATGCTCGTGTCAAATTGGTCATTCTGTATCATTTTCCGTCAATTTGAATCACGTATATGCTTCGTCAAAAAAAAAAAACCCCGAATCACGTAGATGCAACATGCTACAATTTGAAAGACTCTATTAACATACCCGAGTTCTATTTTGGTCCTCCAACTCAGAAACCGCAACCACCTCTAATATGTACCCTCCGATTTGCCTCAATCCACAAGCTCTCCAAAACTCAATACAACATTACCCAACGCCTCCTCAAAAACACCACCACCAACGTGATTTTCCCCCTCGCCCACCTTCCAAGCACTAACCCACCCAATTTTATCCCGCGAAGCACCCCGTCCTCCTCAAGCACCTAGTTTCAGATGGGAAGGAGTTCGTCAGGAGTGACAGTGCCATATTTTTTTCTATTTGCTGTTATCATTATTCAATTTAAATTTGTCCAAACTAAGATAAAATATTTGGTGAGCACAGATTATAATTTATAATTTATTTCAAAATAAAAATGCAATCTGTATATATAAAAAAAAGACTTTTTTGCACAGAGAAGTCAAGATAAGCAAAGAACAAATCAGCTTGGTTATTCTTGCATGTGCAGTGCCAGTGCAGTCTATCTTGACGAGTTTTAATGCACATGTTGCTTGTTTTACGAAAACATGTATAAACTAATAGCAACTAATAACATATGCTGTCAATTATTTTACGGTAAATTAAGCATCTGAACGTTGAATTTCCATATGGAGAGCAGCTGCCGCGCGGTGCTCTTACAATGTTATCTTATGAGCCGAAGCAGACTCGTTAGTTTCTAAAGTTTTTTCTTTCTTTTCAATAATACTATTCGAGAATTGACCACATTTAGCTGACCATATGATGTCGGAGTTGATGCGTTACATGTCTTTTTTTCTTTTCTTTCTTTTCTTCTTTTTGGGTAGATTGATGAATTTTCAAAGCTTGATCTTCTTTCCTCAGCTTTGAATTTGGTCTGTGACCTCTAATTAGTTTGGTGATGAGATATTTGTGGGCCGTGACACGTCAGATTATCCCACACCCTTAATATGAGACTCTACTCCTTTTTTTTGTTTTTCTACCAATGTGTATGAGTACCTTATAGAGATATTTAGTCATATTCCCATTCTTAGCACTAAAACTATAAATAAACCCGACACTATCTAATTTCTATAAACAAACCCAAAAAATGACAGCTGGCTCTATGGAATTTAATTTTGATTATTAAATTACTTTGATGCCCTATTAAGTGTTTTGGGCTTTTTAATGAGCTTTTGGGGTTGGGTTTGTTTTAAGAAATCAATGGCAGTTTTATAATTTAAAAGAAGTTAAAAGTCTTTTTGTTCTGTTGTAAATGGGTTTTGGATGTGTTTCTAAAGTCCATTTTATATAGGATTTTTTATATATATAATTTGGGCTCTTATATTGGGTATAATAGTGTATCTCCCTAAATTATAATCATAAGTGCTTAATATGTTTATTTTGATAAATATGGCATATAATAAAGTTTTTTTATTTATTGGAAATGAGCCATTTTAAAGTATTTTTTTTTATTTTTAAAAACCAATACTAAAATACTCATGAAACTAGGTGCGGGAAATTCCGACACAACTTGATGAACAACTCGAAACCTATACAAAATTATATAAATCAACCCGTTAAAACACAATTAAGAGAATAAGAAACGGATGAGTTTCAAATCAACCCGCTAACCATTTGTTAACCAACTTACAATCGGTCATACCCGGTTTACAACTCGTCTACCCATTGACAAGACAAACAATAAAATGCTGTGGGCCAAAGAAGAAAAGGATGAAGACAAAAGCATATTTGGTACATTGAAAGTAGGTCTCACGCGTGTTGTGTTCCACGTGTGGATAATCTGAAGCACACAAGAAGCACATGCAGTCTCCTGCTTTCTCTGTTGGTGCCCTTCGTTATTTTGGCTGCCGACCTTTTCTTGGCTACGTACGTGAAGAAGAAAGACCCTTTTACTTTCTCATTCCAGTCGGTCTTTAACATTTCGCTGTGGACTTCAGAGCTTTTCTTTAAATAAAGCTACTTTTTGCAGTCACTTTGCAATACCATAAAATATTATAACATTATTATTTATGGGTCCCGTCTCTAATTGTAGAAGCATCGATTGCGTGTGGACTAGTGGAGTTTTGATTCATTCCTACCCCTTAGACATACACATGAATTTCTCTACCAATTACTTTTTCAATTGTTGGTTTTTTTTGTCAATCATTCAAATCTCAAAAAGGAGATGGAGAAACAACGAATAAATGAGCCGAAAAAGTCAAGAAACAAGCACAGGGAAGATTAAATTAAAACTAGTACGGTCTAGCATAATAAATCTTCCCTATCATAAAATTAAAACAAAACAAAAAAATAAAGCTACCCTCGCCCCTAAAGGAACGAGGACCGCATCATAATGGCCACAAAAGAGGAGATACACATCTGTCAAGGACAACCAAAAGAAACCAAGGCAAGGTAGATTGGGAGGTAACATCATGAAAGAGAAGAGAAAGGGAGGAGGGACTTAAGGTTTTAGAGAGAGAGTCTCGGTCAACTTTCAATTGTTGGTATTACACAAGGGAATTGGTTAAAAGCATTTATCAATATACCTGAGATACTAAGTTTTGATTTCCATATTCTTCCAAAATCACTTGTATATAAATTTTAAAAAATTCGTTTCTAAGAAAAAGTTTAAACTCTTTGTACAAGATGTTATGTGCTTAATTAAAGACCAAACTGTTGATATGTGCATTATATATTGATGCATCCACACATGCAGGATGAGTACATAGTCCCACCACTCTCTCTCTCTCTCTCTATATATATATATATAATGTTAGGTTTTTAATAAAGATTGATCGGATTGTTCATATGCCGTTGAAATTTATCATATATATATAGTCCCCTTCTATTATTTGAGGGATACCCTTTAGGGTACCCTACAAAATTTTTCAACGATCCAAATAATCTATTTTTGAAGTCTATATTTATAGATCATCCTTGCAAAAAATTAGACAATTCGGAAACCGTTTCGACATCTAATTGTGTCCTACAAAATCAATGAACACGGTGTTTCAAGAAAGTACTAAAATTTCAAGAACTCAATTGAGTGGTCAAATGATATTGGATTCAAGTGATTTTTTGTAGAGATGATCTTTGAATGATTATATAAAAAATAGACGGTTTGGATTAGTAAAATACAATGTGGAGTGGGGTCCTACTATAAGGATGTCCCTCAATGAAAGCTCCTTGTATATATATATATATATATATATATATATATATATATATATATTTGATCTCTTAATCTAAACGGTGCATTGTCTATACATTGTTGTGGAAAAAAAGAAGTGAAAAACGTAGAAGCTTATGAATTCAGTTGTAATTCTTAATAATTAAAAGAGATTTTCTATGTGGTGATCACGCTGTAAGAAGAGAGAATATATTGGCTCCTTAATATAAATTCGTCCCCAATATCTGCAAAATGGTGTTAGTTGTTGCCGGAAGCATTATGAACACTTGTAAATTGAAGATAGGATCATGCTGGACCACCTTTGGTTTCTTGCATTATATTACCCCTTTTGATTCACAAGATAAGATTCGTGCCACACAACAGACATAATATCGTAGGGGGATCGGCTGTGACAGTTGAATTGTTCGTTTCGAGTCTGGTCCGCACGAATATATTCAACGCATTTTATTAAGAGAGAGATGATATATGTTTCACTGTCGTTCTAAATTGGCATGGCTCTTTAACACAAAGACAGGACTAGGTCCTGGCCTATGCATTGTTCATTTTAAGGTCCAAACTGTAGACAGAACCAACCATATGCGTAATTATTAGGTCAAATCGAACCGATTTAGCCTAAATCGAACGATTAGGTTTACAAAGATTCTCATTTTCTGTTGGTTCAGTGTTGTTTTTATTGTCGACACATTTTCTAATTCTTTTTTTATTGTTTCTGGGCACTAAATTAATAGGCTAAATTGCCTATATTTTGTTCTCAACTTCATCTAAATGAACCTAATACCAAGCTAATAGCATTTTAGGTGGTAATTAAAATCGTTCAATCCTATAAATGCATGTTATTATTTTGTGAAGAGAACAAGGTACTATGGATGTCGTTGACAATCCGAAATTTATTCAATAGAAGGGCGTGA